TGACATTTCAACTGCCTGACTGCCATCGCCGAACAGCAGTATAAATATTGGGTCTCCACGTCTGTGCCTCATGACTGGGAAGGGACATTCCCTGTCGACACAAAGCCACTGAATGACTCTAAAATTGGTAACTATTTTGACTTTGTGAGAGGGCGGATGCGAACTCAGCACTCTCTAATATTCAACCAAAACTCTACATAGGCTTTTATTCTTCATAGGCCACATGTCTACAGTACATACAATGGGCAGGTAAAGCCCCTCAAGTGAAACTCAGGGCATCCTGCGGAGGGCTGGGCACGCTGATCATAAGAGAGAGCTCGCAGGGGTGGACTGACCAATAGAAGAGAATATCTGTGGCTCAGGGTTGAACTGTGGAGTCCTTGGGGCTCTCTGAGCTTGGTCGTCTTCTTGCAAACGTTTCGTTGCCTGGCTAGGTTACATCTTCAGTGCTAGCAAGAACTGTTTCCAAAAAAACAACCAATCTCAGAGAACCCCAAAGACTCCACAGGGATGGACTGCCCTGCATTCAACTTTCCTTCTCCTTCCTGGAGACATTTGCTCTTTTAATTTGGTTGACAATTCCAAATTGATACAGGGGAAAAAACGGGATTTCAAAACTTTGGTTGACAACATTGGCTACAGTCAGGGCTTCTCTGATTTCGCACGGCTTACCTCCTGGTTACCAAACGTTGCCTGGATGAAGACAACATTCCTGGGAATTATGGGCTTGGTGGTAATAGGAATATTTGTTTGCAGTTTTGCTCAGGGTTTACCCTCCAGCTTGGGGTGTTGTAGGGGATGATCTTCTGTTCTCAGAGGAAGATCAGCACCTTTCCCCAAGGCAGGGATCCCTAATCTTGATGCAGAATGATCAAAAATATGAATCTGAGTCACAGGATGATGTATAGCTACAAGATTCCCTAACTGATTGTCCATAAAATATTCTGTTTTTGCACAAAAAGAAAAAGGAGGGAGTTTGAGAAGGAAATCAAATCTTACTCCATCCCCATGTCAGCAGTAAGTCAAAGCTTCCCATTTCTCTCACCCTACCATTCTTTATCTCAACAGCAATCAATGCATATGATCAAATTATAGTAAGAAGGGGCTCACCTAAAAAGATTAAAAATGTAGCAGGAAGAATTGGGACTCCTCCACCCTAGCCCAGAATTAAAGAACTAAAGACCTTGCTTGAAGGGCCAACATTCC